AATAAACAGCAAACCACCAACCAGGAAACAGAAAGGTATTGTAGCACATATTTATATAAGGCCTGTTAGCCTTGACCACAGAAACTAGACTTCCTGTGTATGGGGAGCTAAAGGCCGATTCTCAAACTTACTTGGCTTATCTCACTTTTTTCAGGAAATGCTTTCTATAAAGTATTTAGAATAGGACTTGATTTTTTTTTAAAAATAATAATAATAATAATAATAATGGTATTTTATATATGTAATTTAAACGTTCCCTACTTCCAATACTTATCAGAAAATTGCTAGATTTTCATATCTGGGTGGCAGTAGTAAATCCAGTTAAATTTTATGAATCTTCTGTAAAGTTTGGACTGCTCATTTTTCTTTTGAATAATGCTTTGAACTCCTCTGTGTATAATCCAACACAGGTAGTCCTTGACTTACAGCCATTCATTTTAGTGACCGTCTGAAGTTACAGCGGCCCTGAAAAAAAAGTTACCTATAACCATTTTTCACTTTTACAACTGTTGCAGCATCCCCCCCCCATGGTCACATGATCAAAATTTGGATGCTTGGCAAATGGTTCACATTTATGACTGTTCCAGCCTTCTGGATCACGTGATCCCCTGTTGCGACCTTCTGACAAGCAAAGTCAATGGGGAAGCCAGAGGCACTTAACAACCATGTTACTAACTTAACAGCTGCAGTTATTCACTTAAATACTGTGGCAACTAAAGTCATAAAATGGGGCAAAATTTAACAACTTAAGTTAACAACCATCTCGCTTAGCAATGAAAATTTTGGGCTCCATTGTGGTCGTAAATCAAGGATTACCTGTGGAATGAATGGAATGGAAACTCCAGGGCAGAATTTTCCTCTAAACTATTATACTGCCTTCTACCCTTCCTGTTTCCCTGCTATTGTGCTTATCTGTTCCTCTAAGACAAGGGTAGGAAACGTTGGCTCTTTTATGACTCGTGGACTTCAACTCCCAGAATTCCTGAGCCAGCCATGCTGGCTCAGGAATTCTGGGAGTTGAAGTCCACGAGTCATAAAAGAGCCAACGTTGCCTACCCCTGCTCTAAGAGTTATAGTCACTTCTGGTTCCCTCAAATGTAAGGTTCAGTCTATACAGGTAGTCCTTGACTTACAACAATTCATGTAGTGACCATTCAAAGTTACAACGGCACTAAAATGACTTATGACCGTTTTTCACACTTATGACCTTTGTAGCAACCCTTTGATCATGTGACCAAATTCAATTGCTTGGCAACTGGTTCACACTTATGAGCGTTGCTGTGTCCCAAGGTCATGTGATTCCCCCTTTTGCAACCTTCTGATAAGAAAAGTCAATGGGGAAGCCAGATTCACTTAACCAGGTTATTAACTTAATTACAGTGATTCATTTAACAACCGTGGTGAGAAAGGTTGTAAAACGGGGCAAAACTCACTTAACAAATGTCTCGCTTAGCAATAGAAATTTTGAGCTCAATTGTGGTCGTAAGTCAAGGACAACCTGTAGTTTAGACTTGACTCCTGGTACAGACCTTATGACCTACTCAAAGTTCATGGCTGGTATAAAGAGTTTCACAATCAATGTTTGGGAAAATGTCTGAATGAATTTCAAAAACTGTTAGAAACTCTGCGTTCTAAAATATGTGTTTTTTTAACCATTTGGAGGGAGAAAGAAAGAAATACGTAATGCAGAACTTTAGTAGTGTCAGTTCACTAACTTTTACCTTGGAACTGCATCTTAAGTTCATTTACAGCAGACATGTCAAACTCGCGATGTCACGTGATGTCACGCAACGTATCGGGACGGTTTTGCCAATGCCGGCAATGGGGTGGGCGCGGCTTCCGAATGACGCGTCCGGCCCGTGGGCCAGCAGTTTGACACCCCTGATTTACAGAAAGACTACTCAGAATAAGACTGGTATCCCGTGTGCTTATGGGGGGTGGGGGGTATTGAATCTGATGGCCATTGGCTCCTTCCTCCACGAAAGTGGCTTAGCAGGGCGAAACTTCAGCTAGGAGCTTTTCAAATTACAGTTCCATAATTCTCATCTCAATGTTCCTCTATATTGTGTTTTGATGAACAGATTTAAAACTGTGTCACACTGTAATATTGTTTAGAATCCTCTGCAGCTCTGAAGTGCTACATTCGCAGGAAATTCTTACCTTAGACCATGCATTTAATTTCTTCATATTCAGAAGACTGTGCTATGTGTATTGGCTGTTGGTGAACATACTTAATTAGATTCCATCAAATTTATAGGGCAGGAACCCAATAATGAAGGCATGCTAGATATAATCTTTCTTTACAATTACTGATGTGGGGGTTAGTAACCAGTACATTACCCTCTGAGGGATAGTTACTTCTTTTCCCTCAAATTTAGCTATGTAGTATTAATAATTAAAATAATGATTTGGTAATGGGACATTAGAGATGTCAATACTATGACAATGCCATTGTTCACTCAATGAAAAGCAATCGGTTATACAAAAGAAGAGCAGGACTTTGGGTCCAACAAAGCCTGTAAAAGAGTTGGCCATTAGTATTGTCAACTATCAGCAAAATGGTTGTGATTTGGGGAATCTATTTCTTGCCTTTTAGGTACTACTTTGGAACCATTTCAGTGTTACAAGGAGTAGGTAGGAGTAGGTCAGTGAATCAAGTCATCATCCATTATCTCTCCACACAGCTACTGAGTACTAGGTGTATAGATTTATTTTTCCTTTCATGAAGAGGTTTACAAATTTTAATTACAAGAAGTTAAAAAGGGGTCACTTGGAGGCACCATCGGATGGCAAGTTATACTACTATATATCCTTACTAATCTGAAATACTGGCATTGGAAAAAATCAAAGCAAGGAACACCACTTGTTTTTCTGGACCATGATTTTTCACAACTGGAATAGTGTGAATTTCTTGGTGTTGTATGTTATAGCCCATGTGTCAGAATTCTCAATTATTAATCATGCATATTTTTTGGGTTTAGGTTATTCAGGTTCTGCCATTCTCCCATGGGCGGGAGGGGGTGGTCGGGGGCTTGTAGTGTATGTAGACCATTTCCTCTATCTGCTTTGGTGCATTCTTTATGGGGTGTGAAAGGAATGCCTTGGGGCCATCTGCTTTATCTCAGCGCACTGGGAGGAACCGGAAAAGACTTACCAATCTCGAGAGAGGCTCCTTATTGGTTGCTTTACCACAGCTCGATGTCACTGTGGATTGGCCTGTTTGAACCGACGGGATGGACAGTTGGGGTGGAGTTATGGTTTCGCGAGTTTAACCTATTGATTTGGGCGGGAAGTCCTCAGATCCTGCCTAGCTTTCCTGCTTTCTGTACCTGCCAATAAAAGTTCCTTTTGAAATGATGCCAGTTTCAAGAGTTCTGCTTTCTTGGGAGAGAAATGGAGGCAGATCCTTACATTAGGCAGCATCTGCAAAGTGGTCAACCTGGAGGACTAATTCTACCGTGGGGACCATGCAAAATAATGTCTAATCACGGAGGTGAGAAGATAGAAACCGAGCACTTGGAGGGGGCCTCGCTGAAGGCTTGCCTGAGCAGCAGCAGCTCGGACTCTGCCAGCTCATCCAACAAGGTGGACACTTGTGAGAAACCGAGGTGGTCGATCAGAGTGGGACATGAAAGCCAGGAAAGTCACCCTCAAGTGTGGCAGCCATTAACCCGATTGGAAGCATGAGATGGAGAGATCCCTAAATGTCAGTGAAGATGAGGGTGAGAGGCCAGCACACTCTGACCACTTCCTCAAACAAGCCATCAGCCTGCTGGTGGAGGCATTCAAAAACCTCCAGAAAGAAGAGGCCAATCCCTGCCATGGTTCAATAGCCATGAGTCTGGACGAGGAAGAAGAGGTCCAGGAGAGTGAATTTGCAAACCCCGGCCCTTCCAAGAAGCCACTGGAGTGACAGCCGAGGTCACCAACCCAGCCCATGCCACCCCAGCTGGAGGAGATGGATGCTGAGCCAGAAGGAGGGGGACTCAACAGCCTGACTGCAAGGTCCCAGCCCTTGTAGTGTATGTAGACCATTGGATGGGGGTAAAGTATGATGGATCGCCCCAACAGTTGGGCTTTTTCCTAACCCGCATCCTGAGCTATATGCACGAATATGGGTGGGACATCCCCGGGGACCGTGGGCGCGTCAGGATCATAACCCTGGCCCTGGAAGTGCGGCTACTCGGTGGATGGTATAACGTTGATGCTCCCGAGCTCCAGAATTTTAACCTGTTCATGGCAGCCCTGAGAAGGAGGTTGGAGGACCCGCTAGCCGATCGGAAAGCCAGGGAGCGCATCAAAACCATAAAACAGGGCAGATAACAAGTGGCCGAGTACACTGAGGAGTTTAGAGACTTGGCAGGCCACCAACCTCTACCAGGCTTGCATCACCCGGGGGGATCCAGCACGCCTCCACGGCTGGTACATAATGACGGAAGAGGCTGAAATTGACCTAGCACGCAGCCAACGGCAAATGGACTGGACCTGGAGATGTTCCCCTCAGAAGGGAAGAAAGAGATGGCAAAGACCCTGACCATGAACCCACATTTGACCACCTGCTTCAGATGTGGCAAAGAAGGCCATCGAGCAGCCGAGTGCCATTCAAAAGCACTGATCCTGAGGGCAGACCACATCGTAGGAGGAAAAACCCATCTTTGAACAGCGAATCAGGGATCGAGTTTAGACGAGCACTATAAACCAACGAATGGTTCCTGAACCATAAGAATCTTTGCCTGATGAGGGATGAACTACTCTGGGTAGGAGAAAAGTTATATGTGTCAAAAACCCAGAGAGTAAAAATCATGCAACTCTGCCACGACTCAAAAGTGGCAGGGCATTTTGGGTTTGTGAAAACTCTCCATTTGACCAAAAGGCAATTCTGGTGGCCCTCTATAAAAAAGGACATTGAAAGCTATGTGCTAAGCTGCTTCGTTTGCGCAGCGGCAAAGTGGAGACGGGAAAATGCCAGGATTATTACAAGTGGTGGCCAGCCCTTCAGCACCCTGGAGAGAGATCTCTATGGATTTTAGAGTAGAACTGCCAGAAAGTGCAGGAAACACTGTCATTTGGGTTGTGATGGACCTATTTATCAAACAGATCCACTTCACACCTGCCAGAAGATTCCCACTGCTAAAGCCTTAGCCAGATTATTTGTATTACACATATATTGGCTGCATAGGGCCCCACAATGCATTACAACAGACAGGGGGGTCCAGTTCACCTCAGAGTTCTGGAGAGCTTTTTGGACTTACTTGGTACCAGTCAAGGACAGTCAACTAGTCATCATCTGCAAACGAATGGTGGGACAGAACGTTCAAACTCAGTATTAGAACAATACCTGAAATGCTTCATACCAACAAGTCAATTGAACTGAATTGTTGCCTTTCGCAGAAGTCGCTTACAACAATGCAATGCATTCGAGTACCGGCTACTTACCGTTCCAAGTGGCAACAGGACAAAGTTTCAACCCAATGTCTGAGTTAGCTGTTAACGTGCCCACCACCCCCTCTTTGAAAGAGGGAATTAAACAGCTGCAAAACACCTGGCCTGTGATTAGAAAAGCTTTAGATGAAGCCAGAGAAGCTTATAAAATTCAGGCAGATAAGAAACGAATGGAGCCTAAACCATTCAAAAGAGGGGGAAAAGTATGTATCTCAACCAAATTTCTAAAATCCCTGCAGCCATTGAAAAAGCTAGGACCAAAATTCCCCATAAAACACATAATTAACCCAGTAATAGTGGAATTGGAACTCCCAAAACCATTGAGACAGGTCCACCTGTATTTCACTGCAGCCTGCTTAAACGGGAACTAACCTCCCCTTTAAGGCCAGCAGAAGCTCTCCCCCCCCCAATCCATTATGGTGGAAGGGGAGCAACATTTTGAAATTAAAGAGATATTAGACTCCAGGAAACATCTTGGGTCAACCCAATATTTAGTGGCATGGAAAGACCTCCCACCATCACAAAATGAGTGGGTGCATAAAAAGCATGTCAGGGCTCCCCAACTGCCACCGTATTATTTACTTTATTTCACAAAGCTAAAGCCAAATCAGAATGAGAACAACTCTTCCCATCCTCGTTCTGGATTGGCTATATGCCATCATGAAGCCAATCACAACTGGCTATATGAAATTTTTATAAACCTAATACAATGTAACAGCAGGAATCCGTACTCTCATTTGGAAAGGGTGACATAAATGGAACTAAATTATCCTTCAGCTTAAATTCACATTCTTCTTTTTATTAAAAATCTTGACAAAAGAAATGAAGGAACAATAGCAATCTCCACTTCAGATCAGTGTTAATAATTATGTCCCTGAAAGTCCTAAAATGTGAGTATTTATTTTATTAGGAGAGATAAGTGCTTTTTCATCATAGAGGATTTGTGTTTTTTATAGAGATAATGCAACAATTTCATGAAACTGTTTTCCAGTGTTCCACTCTCATCTTCATTAGGTCTGCCACTGATATCTCACAGCTTAATATTATCCATTTTTGTCTGCAAATCTATCTCATTATTTCTTGGCACTACTTGATTTGACTTGAATCTTATTGCTTTTTTCCCAATTATTGTTTTATTATCTATCATAAACTCAAAATGCCTTTTACGTTGGAATATCAGTTGACTAAATGAATTTATATTTTCATGACAATACAAAATTCAGTATATTTTCTTTGTTCACCAATCCTGTTCCTGTTGTTTACATTTATCTCTAATAAATATATCTTTTAGAATTATTGTCCCCAGTTTCTTCAATCATCTATTTAATTTATTCACTACCCTCCTAGAAAAGGGTAGAAAAAATATAATTCCAGAGCATTTCAGTGTGTTATCTTTGCAGTTTGCTTATATCTAATAAGTAATCGTTTCTTTATTTCATTAATAAAAAACAATTGCATCGCTAATCGAGCACTAAAAAATGCTACTGACATTTTAAAGATCCTTTGTGGTTTTAAGAAAATGCTTCTGTGTTTAAATAGCAAATTATTTTGCTACTTAAAAGCAAAAGGAAACAAAAACAAAAACTCCTCCCTACCCGCACCCCCATCCCCAAGGGGGCAATAGAAGCAGATCTTGTAACATCTTGGAGTTATTCAAGAATCAATATACTGATGTAAGCTTGCACAGACAGTATCTGCTGGGGAGTGTTGGGCTTCAGAGTTAATGACCATGTTCTAGAAAAGAGATTTTCTGGTGTTTCCTTCAGCTTTTCCAACAGCATCCCCATGGCTTCTGTGACTTGTAAAGCAAGCTGCTGCTTGTTTAGAATAGAATAGAATAGAATAGAATAGAATAGAATAGAATAGAATAGAATAGAATAGAATAGAATAGACCTAGGAAGTCTTCTAGTCCACCCCCTGCTCAAGCAGGAGAACCTATACCATCTCAGACAAGGACTGTCTAGCCTCTTCTTAAAATTCTCCAGTGATAGAGGGCCCACGATTTCTGGAGGCAAGCTGTTCCACTGGTTAATTGTTCTCAATGTCAGGAAGTTTCTCCTTAATTCCAGGTTGCTTCTCTCTTTGATCAGTTTCCAACCATTGTTTCTTGTCCTGCCCTCTGGTGCTTTGGAGAATAACATGACCCCCTCTTCCTTGTGGCAGCCCCTCAAATACTGGAACACTGCTATCCTGTCGCCCCTGTTTCTTCTTTTCTTTAGACTAATCAAACCCAAGTCCTGCAGCCGTTCTTCGTATGTTTTAGTTTCCAGGACTTTGACCATCTTAGTTGCTCTTCTCTGAATTTTTTCCATGGTCTTTTTTGTAGTATGGTGATACTATGGTCTCACTAGGGCTTTATAAAGCAGTACTAATATTTCACGTGATCTTCAATCTATGCCTCTGTTTATACAACACCAGTCTCTTCTTCTCTTTCCTTCCATCTTTTCCAGGATTTGAGTCCTGGCCAGAGAACTGTGTCTTCGCATAATACATCCCATATGGGATAATTTGAGCCTTATCATTTGGGCTTTGAGTGAGAACTCTGAATTTTTTGATGATCTAGCAGTTTGTTTTCTTGGCTGTCTATGGTATTCTCAGAAGGCTTCTCTAACACCAAAGTTCAAAACATCAATATTCTTCCTATCTTGCTTTTTTTTTAACCCAACTGTCACTTCCATGGAGTATCACAGTACAAGATTATTTGTGCTGCTTTTCCTTTAAGTGTTAAAAAAAGTTCAACTATACAATAAGAGACATTCTTATACAAAGGTGGGATGCCATCTAGATCAGGGGTGGTTTGCATTGTTCAGGTGATCAACCTTTTTGTGGCCAGATATTTAAGGGCCACAGGGATATGGCTGGGGAATCATGACATCTTTTGATTATTTGGGCCATTGTTTTGTCCTCTTAGAATTTGTGGAGGCTTAGGTGGATATTAAGGATAGACATGGAAGCCTTAAGCTTTGGAAAGATTTAGATTTTAGATTCTTAAATTCCTCCTTAAATGTGGGCTGAAGCAGTCAATCTTGCCCATTCTAGAAATGCTCTGGTAGCTACAAATAAGATTCGGGGGGGCTTCATACAAACCCAAATTGCTCATCTAGTAATAATAATAATAATAATAATAATAATAATAATAATAATAATGATAATAATAATAATAATAATAATAATAATAATAATAATAATAATAATAATAATAATGATAATGATAATGATAATGATAAAGTTGGAAGGGACCTCAGAGGTCATCTAGTCCAACCTCCTGCTCAGGCAGGAAACCCTATACCATTTCGGACAAATGGCTGTCCAGTTTCTTCTTAAAAACTTCCAGTGTTGGCGCATTCACCGCTGGAGGCAGGTTGTTCCACTGGTTAATTGTTCTAACTGTCAGGAAGTTTCTCCTTAGTTCTAGGTTGCTTCTCTCTTTGGTTAGTTTCCACCCGTTGCTTCTTGTCCTGCCTTCAGGCGCTTTGGAGAATAGCCTGACTCCCTCTTCTTTGTGGCAGCCCCTGAGATATTGGAACACTGCTATCATGTCCCCCCTCGTTCTTCTCTTCGTTAAACTAGACATACCCATTTCCAGTAACCGTTCCTTGTATGTTTTAGCCTCCAGTCCCCTAATCATCTTTGTTGCTCTGCATGGTTTCACACAAAAACCTTTTGTAGTCTTATAGGATACAGTATTGGGACTGTTTGGGAAACGTTGTACCATTAAGCTTAAGAATACCATAAGTGGACTTCTGTGAATCCGCACACAAAATGGATGATATTTGTTTGCTACCATTTAATGGTTGATCTGGATTTTTGCAAG